CTCGACCATGAAGAAGTTGGAAAAAACCTTGGTAGAACATCCTGTCCTCAAAGTGGTTGACCCTTCGTTACCATTTGTCGTCACGACAGACGCAAGTCAGTATGGTATAGGCGTTGTCTTACATCAGAACGACGACTATGGCTATAGAGTTCATACAGGCCAAGATGATGCCGAAATTGACTAGATGGACAACGAAAATGGACCAACTTGAGTTCGAGCTGGAGCCCATTAAAGGCAAGTATAACGTGATAGGTCATGCTCCAAGTAGAAAGGCAAATTACTTCGGTGCGATATTACACTATCTAGACATAGGAACGGCGGATACGCAGCCGAAGATAAAAAATGTGTGCGGTTTACCAGCCATAACTGACAAGATCTTATGAAAGTCGATGACTCCAAGCTATTACTGTAGTCCGACCGTCATCTGGAAACAAACGACCAAACCGAATAGATGAATTAGACCTTGCAGCAGATACTCAAAACATATATTCAACCCGCCGACCAAATCAATTGGAACGAGACGCTCCAATAGTGTACATCTAGCTACATGTCGTACTCCTAATAAACTCCACAAGTCCTTTAGACCACGTAAGCCCCGTTTGAAGAACTGAATCGGGACCTTATCCAAAGACAACCTCCCGGGTCTAAAGAGTTCGCATTGTAAGACGAAAAGGAAGCCGTGAGGGTGATTGAGAAGGCCCAACATCACATGATTGAGCAGGCAAACGAGCATCGCCGGCCTTTTCAGGTAGGCAACTTAGTCTGGGTCAAGCCCAAGGACTTCGTTCGCAGAAGTTATTGCCCGCATAGAGAGGGGCGTGGCCTGTCCTAGAAATCCAAGGTGGAGAGGACGGACCCTCCTATACGATCCTCCAGACATATCAGATTTCTCATGCCTCAAAATTGTTGCCTTGTGTCACCAATCAACAGTTTTCGTTGCGAAGAGCAATGATTCCGCCTGACGTGGATGACACTTATGACATAGACCGGATCATAAAAGATAATGTGCTTTGGACCGGAGGTCAAGGTTGTCCTCTGGAACAATATAAAGTTAGATTTGCTTATCCGGAACCTGAAGACGATTGATGGTTCAGCAGGATTGAACTTTCAAAAACCGTTCCCGACATAGTGCATGCCTACGAGAGAGCAAGAAAGGGTAAAGGTCCTACCTTGGATTAGAGAATTCTCGAAGGACCTCAAATTTAGGATGGCGGGAGTGAAACGGTTTCACCCAGTTCTTGTGACAATTGCAGATCCAAGGACTCAATCCCTAGATCCAACCCCTACTCCTATTTATAAAATCCATTCCCCTCGCGACCTGTCCCTAAAACATCATAGGTTAGTGCTTTGTGCATTCGTTGGGTCGTCGAGACTTGAACCGTAGTCCTTAGGATTAGAAATCATAGGAGTCGGTCCAAACGACAATTGACCGTAGCTGAGTCAACAAGTGGGAAGTGGCCCTAAGGCCTTACGAAGAGTCAGTCGGTCTAGACTTACGCATTTTTAGAAGTCCGTAGTTGACTCTTCGGTACTGCAGAGGTCAATCGTCCGTAGGTCCATCGGCAAAGGGTAATCCAGTCCTAGCACAGTCAACAGTCCCAATGCCTAGTCCCAATCTACTTCGTCCAATCAGCAAGTACCAGGTGGGACAGCACAATCCTTGGGGTTGGGCCCGAAGGCTGGCCAGACCATCGGCGAAACAGTATAAATACAGAGGCATTGCCCAACCGCTCCTTCATTCTGCAAGTGACGCGGACTGCAGATGCCCGTAGACAAAGTGGGCAGGAAGGAGGAGGCGAAGGCCATAGCTACTAGGTAGAATATAGCAGAAGGGAGTCGGCGACCATAGCCGCCAGTACAAAGCCACGGCAGTGGGTGCGCGTGTGTGGTGTGTATGCGTGGACATTCAGGGTAGATCATAGTTTGTGCGAGTATATGCGTGAGCGAGCGAGGAGTATCTGATGGTGGATATAGTGTTCGGGTGGGAATTTTAACAGTGTTCAGCGGCTATGGCCATAGCCTAAGTCATAAAAGTTGACTTAAACCGAGTTCCTGGCCAGATGCCATATCTTTGAGTTTTTTGTATGGGCGCCGAGCGCCATCTCACACTTATTGCTGATTTTGTGTTTGTCAGAGTGCTTCTGCCATCAACTTCTGACTGTATGCATGGTAAGAGTGAAGTTGAAGTCGAATCTGATTACATTGGTGTTGCCTTGCACATCACTGCTCCGCGGCTTTGCTTCCCATCCGCAGGCTGTGCTTTCTGTGTCCTTCGCTTCCGTGCCTTGTAGTTTGGTTGCCTTGTTGGTGTCGCCTTGTTGGTGTCGCCTTGTTCTTCACTGCACGGTTGCCGTTCTGCTTGTGTGCTTGCCTTGCCATTCTTTATAGTGTAGCTGCATTGTGCTTCACAGCGTGGTTGCCATGCTGCATGTCCGATTGCCATGTCATTCCTTGCAGTAGTCTTTGGCATTGAGAGCAGCCGAGTTGCCTCTGCAGCAATGCCTGGTGCTTTGCCGGGTTGCTGCCTGCTGGGACAGTCTGCCTTCAACAAGGGTTAAAGGGTACACGACCTCGAACCATCAATACAGACATTCCACTGATTGCCGAGGGTTCAGCCTCCTGACGAGTTCATCAGTTCTCATTTTTTTCAGTCTTTTTCATTTCTTTGGGACATGTATCTTCCTGCTTGGCTTGCCTTGTCTGTTTGAGTGACGTCCTCCCTCCCACCTCCCCCATGCCCTCCAGCTATTGTCCTTTGCTGCCGCCTGTTGTCCCAGGCTTGATTTAGGCCCTTCCAACTTGGACTTCCCTTGTCCTTCCTTGTACTGTGCGGTTATGTATGGTGTGCCCTCCCGCCTACCCTGTGCCCTCCGGCAAATGCCAATCCGCAGTTTCCCATTGGTACAAGGCCGGATCGAGTCCTCCATGTCAGCAGAAACCAGGTTTAGGGACTATCACCTTTCCTCCAGCAATTCTGCTCAGCAAGAAACTGAACAGTGATTTTCTGATCAGCAGGGAACTGAACTGCAATTTTCGAATTTCCCCAGAACTGAGCCGCAACTTTCTGAAGTGCCCGGGACTGAAGTGCAACTTTCTGAAGTGCCCGGGACTGAACTTCAATTTTCTGACATGCGAAGGACTAACTGCAATTCTCTGAAGTGCCCATGACTGAACTGCAACTTGCTGGTAGAACAAGGCCGGACTGCGACCGGACTGCAAGTTGCAGGTAGAACAAGGGCCGGACTACAAGTTTGCTGGTAGAACAAGGGCCGGATTGCAACTTGCTGGTAGAACGAGGACTGGACTGCAACTTGCTGGTAGGACAAGGACTGGACTGCAACTTGCTGGTAGAACAAGGACCTGACTGCAACTTGCTGGTAGAAAAAGGACTGTACTGCAACTTGCTGGTAGTACAAGGACCGGACTGCAATTTGCTGGATTTGGCACGTAGCAACCTAACCCACCCTGAACCTGCAGGGGCGACACACAGTCTCACCAAACATGAGCCGGTGTATGGTCCCAAAACTTCAAATACAGACGAGCATGAGCAAGCAACTTCACGCCTCCGGTCCAGCTCCATCTTAGCGAGCGCACAACCTTGATCAGCCATAGCATCATGTGGCCCTGATCCTATGATTCTAACCAGCAGTAGTTGGCGCACGGCTCAGATCCTGCTATCTGAGCCCGCAGCGACAAGTTTACGATTCGCATCCTACAGTCCGTGCTGCAGGAACGAGCGCACGATCCCGACCCTACGATCCGAACCAGCGGTAACCAGTGTGCGATCCCGATCCTGCAATCTCAGCCAACGTTAACAACTGTGCGATCCCGGTGCCAGAGGTAACGAGCGCGCTACCCCCTTCCTGCCATTCCAACCAACAGTTCGCATCCTACAGTCCGTGCTGCAGGAACGAGCGCACGATCCCAACCCTACGATCCGAGCCAGCGGTAACGAGTGCACGATCTCGATCCTGCGGTCTGAGCCAACGGTAATAAGCATGCGATCCCGGTCCAGCAATCCGAGCCAGAGGTAACGAGCGCGATATCCCCATCCTGCCATTCCAACCATGATACCGGGCCAATGATCCGGGCCAACAGTAATGAACCTTTGGACTAGGCAGGCGAGCACGGGCAAGCAAGTTCATGCCTCAGGTCCATGTGAGCTAGCGCACAGCCTTTATCAGCCGTAGCATTAGAGTGGGGTTCTAATCAGGACCGGTAGTAGTGGGCGCACGGTTCAGATCCTGCTATCTGAGCCTGAAGTGACAAGCTCACGATCCGCATCCTACAATCCGTGCTGCAGTACCGAGAACACGATCCCGATCCTACAATCCGACCCAGCGATGAAGGCGGCACAATCCTAATCCTGCGATCTGAGCCAACGGTGATAAGAGTCAGATCCCCATCCTGCAATCTGCATCAGATGTAACGAGCGCGTGGTCCCGATCCTGTGATTCAAACCAACAGTAACGAGTGCATGATCCCAAGCCAATGATCTTGGGCTAACGGTAATAAGCGAGCGATCCCGACACTGCGATCCGAGCCAATGGTAACGAACGCAAGATCCCGATCCTGTGATCCGAGCCAACGGTAATGGGCACACAATCCCGTTCCTATGATTGAGCCAATGATAATGAGCATGCAATCCCGATCCTGCCGTCCGAGCCACTGGTTATGAAAGCACGATCTGAATCCTACGATCCAAGCAAAAAACGATAACGAGCATGCGATTCTGATCCTGCGATCCAGGCAAGCGGTAATAAACTCGCGTTTGCAATCTTACAATCTGAGCCAGCGGTAACAACCACACAATCCCGATCCTGACCCTGTGATCCGAGCCAGCGGAAATCAGTGGTTATCCTGATCCTATGATCGAGCCTACTGAGTGCGCGAACGAGATCTTGCAAACCAAGCCAGCGGCAATGAGCGCGCGGTCTGGATTGTATGATACGAGAAGGTAACGAGCACGCAATCCCATTCCCGCAATCGGACAAGTGGTAACGAGCGCCCAATATTGATTCGAGTCCCTCTTACACACTGGAAATGGAGAGATGTAGTTCATTGACAGGTCAATGAGGGGGTACTTGCTTGCACATGTCGCTTCTTCAAAACTCAAGAATGCAGATGGAAGTAGCACGGCCAGAAGATGTCCCAATTCACACACAAATGGCTTTTGTCGAATTCTCAGACAAGTACCAGCAACGGAAATGAATGATTGCGATGCACTGAAACAAACGGTCGAACACTTATGGCCATAAATCATCTTATTTAGTCCACATAAGACAGCATCTTCAAGAAAAAAGAAAGAAACTGTTCAGCCAGGAAAGAGGACTATCTGCACTCACCACCACAAAACAAACAAAACCAAAGCAGGCTCTATCTTCATCCTCCACAGCAGTCACCGAAGTGATGATGCAACTGATTCCAAAGCACATCACTGCAATCCGAGAAGCTACTTCGCCCATATTTCCAGACGATTTTGGATCACCACCTCTCATAAACCGACAGGAGCACAGCCGCTCAGGGAGGATTCCGCATAAGTATGCCACCCCCTTGCAGCTCCTGCACCCATCCCTCATAATCACGCTTCTAAACCAGAAGGCCTATACACTCCCTTTCACATAAAAAATACGTAACAATCCAACAAGTTGGGGTAAGCTGCCCTCTCTTCCGCTCCCGGGGTATTGCACATCGAAGCGAACTCTGCATTTTTAAACAGCGACGACTCTGTTTCGAAGGCAAGGGCATAATCTCAGCACATTTCTCAGTGTATAAGACATATGTTAACTTCACCACTGGATATAGACAGCTTTGCCCACATTGAGACCATTTCATTTCATTCACACTCCTGGCAGCTTTCCCCTCCCACCCATATGAAAGAGGGCCCTAACAAAGACCCGTCAAGCAAAGCGATCAATCATCCTGCATAGATGCTGCCACTCAAAGAATGATAAGACCTCTGAATACCTGAACATTTCTACTTAGCGATATGAATCACGATGAGTAGAGCTCATATTGTGTGTCATCTAATGAAAGTCTTACAATATGATGACAATACCCCATTTGGCCTAGCAGGACCTCCACAGCCTCTCCATTCGCCATCCCAATCTCTCTCTCTCTCTCTCTCTCTCTCTCTCTCACACACACACACACACACACACACACACACACACACACACACACACACACACACACGTATCGCACCTCTTACCGCATCCACAAACACAAATCCCAGCCATCTATCCGTTCTCCGTGATAGTTAGCAGGAGATAACTCAAAAGTGCATACAGCGTTACCCACACATGCGGAGCAAACATCCAGCTCAGGSMCTAGTTACCGAAAGCGAATCGACACCAGAGGGACATCCAGGTCATCACTCTCRTCATCCTCACATGCTACCACTATGTCAAAATGYCGMCGCTGTGKTGGAACTTCCAGCTTCGCAATCTCTCTCGCCAGATCAGACACCTTCTTGTCCAATCTCTCTCTGTGCCTGGGGAAAATGTTGTTATACAGCAGACTCTGGCCACAGGAGATACTGTATGCGTTCAGATTCTTCTGACGGAACCAATCCAGCACTTGCCGCAGAGTTACATCACCCTCAATAACCCACCTATCCCAGACGGTCCACTCCAGCTCCCCGTGCTTGAACTTCCGTGCACTAACAGGCTCTGCCATGGCAAAGAGGGGTAGGGCAAGGTTTGCAAAAGTGTTCCGATGCTGGCTGGCAGGCTGGCCCTGAAGCACTTTGTATAGCTCCAGACACACAAAACCGGTTGCCAGGGCCGTTGTTGTTGCAATGGCCGGGATAATACGGCCTGCRATGAGCTTCCCCTTCAGCTTGTCTACTTCAGGGATACTGTAGTTCCGTGCGCGCATGTTGGCAAGTCCGACAATGAAGTCCATGTGGAAGTTTGTGTCATCATCTTTCTCAAATTGAATCGGATGCATTTGAAACCCGGGACGAATGCTCTTTGTGCCAGCCTCCAGCTTCTGGAGCAGCGAGTTAATGATCGACTCATCRTCAGMATGCGATGGAACTGYCGTTGCCCTCTCATCAGTCACAATCTCAACTCCCTGTTTTGCCACAAATGGCTGGATTGGCACTTTATCCACCACCTCCATCACCTTCTTCACATCTGTTGCCCATACAGGCCTTGCTATTCCAAAAGTTTCTGCCCGGAGAATGGCGCCTGCAATGACGAAGGACATGTGACACGRATCCTTGCTYGAGAACTCCAGAGGTGTCGGGAATCTCTTCGGAGCTGACCAGAATGGAGCCCCCGTGCTGGTAATAGCATTCTCTGGAAATGTGAACGTCARCTGCTTTACACGATTCGCAAARTAATCTTCGAAGCGATGCCGTGCCCACRCAATGCAGTCCTCAAACGTTGTACACCAATCTGTCACAAGGCATTCCACAATCCGCTCCAGAGCGTCCCTGGCCTGAGCATCCCCTGCACTCTTCGCCGTTTCCTTGTACTCGTTGGGTTTCGATAAGAATGCATTCACCTCCGCTGGAGTCTTTTCTAGGAAGCCTTCGAATTCCGAGCGCGCCCAGACAAGGCAGTGRTCTATATTGTGGGGGAAGGAGTGCAAGGTACACATTGGAGCTTGCTTTTCCGGCGGATCCCTTGATGCTCCGTAGTTCTCCGTCTGATGCGGGATCACCATTTGAGTGTTGCACTTTGTCCCCAGAGTTCCAGATTCCAGAAGAGGCTTCTGRAAATAGACACATCGAGAATCCACATACAATCGCGCATTCACATTGTCCAATGCATTCACAACGACATCGAGGCGTTCCCAGAATTCATCATTAAACACAGACTCCGTYTCTCCGCTTACRCGGTTCTGGAGAGGATTGATTCTCAAGCTCGGATTAATTACTTGCGCWGCAGCCGCAGCTACCAAAGATTTYGACTGCCCGATGTTCCAGTCGCGGAACAAGAACTGTCTGCTGAGGTTACTCTTCTCGATTGTATCGTCATCCGTCACAGTGAGCTTCCCATTCTGACCACAGCAGACACCCATCAGTGCCAGATTCTTCAAAAACTCGCACCCCAGAGCTCCTGCCCCGACCATGAAGCAGTTAGCATTCATCATCTTCTCCTGAAGCGTTCGACCAAACAATGCAATCTGCGGATCATACCGCGATCCGACTGGCATGGTCTCCTCAGCTGGAAGCTCATTGGGGGGCAGAGACTCGACAGAGTCGAAGTAAAAGAATTGCAAGATGGGGTGGAACTTCCCCGAGCAAGCCTTAACAGTTTCTTGACCAACAATGCCACCAAACAGGGCAGCCATGGGAGAAAGGCAAGCCGCAGCACCGAAGGAAAGCTTCCTCAGAACGCCCTCATCGAGGCTCTCCAATCGCTTGTCACCGGCCTTTTCATTCACCTCCTTGGCTAAGGCTACGAGCTTTTCAGCATCTTCAGCTGATGCCAGGCCGGGAAGACGGCCAAAGGACGCTTCAAAGAGCCCCAGAGCTTGGAAACCTACATGCAGAAGGCCAGGGCGATCAAACTTTGAAAAATCTGAAAGCAAGAACTCCCCCGGGTCACTGAGCGCCTCATTTAGTGGCTTGAACTTCAAGACTTTCTGCTCCTTGACTTGAGTAACGATCCCACCACCTTCGTAGGCATTGCACTTGGTTGTGTCCTCCTCAAGCTGGAATGAATGTGCCTTGACGTTTTTCACCCGCCGTGGTTTTCCATCATTCAGTTCTGGAATGCCTCTGACCTCCCGGAAAGTCACAAGCTCGCCATCTTGGAACTCTAACCGCTCATCATCTACACAGGTTACAAGTGCTGGATTGCCCGTAGTGATGGATGCAACAATACCAGAGTGTGGTTCTTCTCCATCTGTATCGAACACTGTGAACTCAGGTCCAAAATCACAGAACACACTTGCAAACACTCCACGTACTTCTGCTTTGATGAAGGCGATCGGTGGCTGATGTGTATGGCAGAAGCTGTTGATCTCCAGAGCCTTGTTCATAGGCAAATCGGTAAACACCACCACGTTGAAGTTCGCAAGGAACTCTTTCATGATATCTCCAGTATGTACCCGAACTGCAACAGCAGTGTTGAGCTCAATCAGCTTGTCTGCGCATGCAGTGGCCCGGTTCTTTCCAATATCAGTTTCAGACAAATAGAACTGCGATGACAGATCTGCCAATCCCACAACATGAGAGTCATGTAAAGTCACAGACTTGACCCCAGCTAGAATCGTGTTCTTTGCGACCTCCACTCCAAGACCCCCCAGCCCAGAGACGAGCACACTGGCCCCAAACAGGCGACGCATCGTCTCCCGTCCATACACTGCCAACTGGCGACTGTGCAGATCTTCATCGATCTCAACATCCACGGAGGAGCGAGGCTTCGTCATTGACACATCCTCCGAGGAGCGAGGCTTCGTCATTGACGACCCCGTTTTGTCCTCCTCAACCTCAACCCGTCGCCTTTTAGGCAGCATGCGCTGCCTATCCTCTGCCCTAAGGGCTGAGTTATAGGCAAATCGTCTCCTTCACCTCGCTGTAATCCACTGACTCCCCTGCTTCCAGGAAATGCAAGCTCCTGTCAACATTCAATCACACAATGGCAGATGCACGGAAAGAACAGAAAAGATAGCCCAGGGCAGCTCAGCCTCCAGGAACTAGAATTTTGTGAAAAGTGCATTCAGATGAAGCAGCATTGGATTGCAGGTATTCTGCAAAAACAAATTTCTTAGTTCCCTCTCTCTCTCTCTTTGAGCATTGGCTCCCTCGGACATGGCACTACAGGGCTTGCTTTCGCAGCAATTGCCCACGAATCGCAGGAATTGTTACTAACGATATTCTAGGCTGCTCGGTGACAATGAATGCAAATCAGAATTCCATGATCTTCTCCAGCAGTGTTCACCATCATATGCTAATTGGGTGAGCCTTCTGGGCTACCTATTCCCTATGTTGTCACTACCTCCAGGAGCTTCTGGTATGGGGCAGGCTCAGGCGCACCAGACGGGTGCGCAGAGAGTTCTGGGTGGGGGCTGTGTACCGCGCCATGTCTACGGCTCCTCAGCAGGCCGCGGCAGACTTGAGGGCGTCAAGGCCAGTCTCGCTGTTGGACATGGATGCCAGTTCCGTATCATATCGAAATTCCCCCATACACATAAATACTTGCATAGTTGCGGATACACATGAACGCACTCACAGATAAGCTTATTTAGAGCTGTGGAATATTTTCCTACTTTCAAGTTTCAAGTCTAATTGGCTTTGTGGTTAGATCGTTCTCCAACCTTTCCCACATTGTGAAAACCCTCTGCACCCACACATAGGATGACACGATCTGTAGGCTCTCCAGTCACAGACCAACTTCTCCCGTTCTTTTCCCCCGGCGATGGACGCGCATGTCACTTGTCCTCGACGCTTTCAGGGCATAGTCTATGCCAGCTGTCATGATAAGGTGCATTCTGTGGCATCCAGATGTTTTCAGGGCAAGCTTTACGCCAGCCAGCTTCCATGATAAGGTGCGTTCTGCATCATGTGTTTTCAGGGCATTGTCCATGTATGTATCGATCGTGGCCCCTCTATTAGCCACAAAGGCTGTTCTAACCCCTAACCCCTTCTTCCAACTTTTACCGACATGTGGCTCATCTCTCTGGCAAAGGACGATGCAATAGTGCCTTCGGTAGGCACTCTACTCTCTGGTTATGTGCCACCATCATGCACATCTTTAGGAGTGTCGCTGCACATGGGAGTGTGTAGGAACAGGTCCCTGCTTTGGTGGGGAAGCAAGAATAAGAACAAGCTTCATCCTTGCATTCGTGGGGGGGCAAAGGTAGGAGCAGGAACACATCCGTACCTTTGTGGGCCGGGCAAAGGGGATATATCTTACTCGGTTGGATAGCGAAGAGCACTGGAACAGCAGGGTTTCAGTTGCCTGATGGCTATAAGGTAAGCACACCTTGCCAGCGATCCACAAGTCCATCTGCAGCCTGGTGACATGAAGAGCTACAGCACCTTCAACGAGACAAGGCATGTGGGTTGTCATGTGGCTGACTGGCAATGATCTTGGTAAGAGGGACGATCGAAGAGAGGGAACGAGGGATGTGGGCGTCAATCTACGAAATATACTATATTAAAGCGCACGCGCTGCATTAACAATACCATTGGTAGAAACTAAGCATGCGAAGGAAGAATACAGTTTTGCTTGAAAAAGTCATTTGTGTAGTTGACGACCTAAGAGGCATTGTTAAATTGACATAGATTGGGAAGGACGGTATCAGCGGCTGACTGACAAGCAGTTGGTCCGCTCGTTCCTTCATTCATTCGATCATCTGATTAAGCAAATTTCCCATGTTCGTGTACATGTATAAATGCATACGTTCTCTCACTTTCATTCGATTTCAAAATCCTTCTTAGGAAAGACCTAGATGCAGATTTCCAGTTGCCGCCTCATCCACCTCGGCACGTGGAAGCAGACTGGTGCGTGGCGCTCCCCGTCAGCGAAGCATGTGTGGGGACCTTGAGGCAAAAGAGAGTTCGTAAGAGTACGCTGGCCCTTCCTCTCTGCCTCCTGTTCCCTTTGCTCTTGTGTGGTTCTGATTCGAAAATGCCCTCCTACGTTTTAGCTGCATGACAATTTACCCCTTTGGGCATTTTACTTCGACGTTCCTGGACACAATTTTGACATTTTTGGAACCGAAATCATGTGCTTACCGGGTTCCCACTAGTACAACCTGACGATTTCGATTGAAAAAGCGCCGAAATTGCAGCCAGGAACTTTAAAGTTGAATGACGGAAGGGGTATATTGTAAACAACAAATTGTCGATAAGAAGAAGGAAAGGTGTGTTGCCTCCTTTATGTGCCTCTTCTTGTGCGCCTATTGCTCATATTTTGTTTTGTCCGTTTTTGCTGATGCTTGTGCAACTATACATAATATATCTTGTGACAGAGGCATAAACAAAGAGTGCACGTTGTACATTGTGACAAAAAAAAAAAAAAAGATGGTGTAATGTGAAGACTGTGTCCTCAGGAGGCCCTGGGCAACATACATATGTTCTGGATTGGATGGCGTAATGTGACTGTGTCCTCAGGAGGCCCTGGACAACATACATATGTTCTGGATTGTGGCCCCCCCAGCAAGCCTCGTGCCCACCCTAACTGAGGGCGGGCCTTAATATTCACGAGAGGCCCTTATCTCAGCACTGTCCAAAGCGGGTCTCAGACAGTTGCTGCATTACAGTTGGTTAAAGTGCAAGCTGAGCCTTACCCTGGGCTCTTCCAGAAGAAGTAACTGCGCCAGGCAGTTGAGCCCAGGGCTGGGGTGGTTGTGCCTTGGGCACAAACTGTGAGACCGACACATCACAAAGTGGCCACGGGCCAACAAGAAAGCAGCATTGTCATCGTATCTACCCGTTGGTCCAGTGCAAATGCAGCAAACAATTGGAGACTGGGGCGTGTGCCCAACTGAAAAGGGCTCAGGCCCTCAACTGTCAAGCCAGGCCAGGGCGCAGACACCAGGGCCCGACCAGAAGCTACTGGAGACTTCCACGGCCAGGCAAAGGGAGTCCAGCAGCTGCCACTTCCATATAGGAAGTAGGCCAGCTAGAAAAGGGATTCGAGCCAATGCTGGCATTGCTGACACGCTGCTGCGCTAGCAAGCGAGTGTCCGCATGCACTAGCTTGGGCTGGCGCGCGCAGGCGCTGCAGGGGCAGTGGGGCGCTAGCGTCCATAACCGGGCTGCAGGGCGCGAGGCAGAGGAGGGCAACAGGAGGTCTTCGGGAGGAGGCGCAGAAGTGGGTGACAGGACGTGAATAGGGGAGATGAGGATACGTACCTGGTGTATGTGGGAGGTCGGCATTGGTGTTGATGAGATGTACATTGGTCTTCGAAGTCGAACTGAGCCTGTTGTACGAATGTTGATAGGCTAGATAGGCAAGCAGGGTAGGCTGGGCGCTGGGCGCCAGACAGAGAGGAGCGACATTGAATACTGCGTTGGTGTGGCCTGAGGGCTTGAACATTGGCTCACAAGTTCATTGTATTGCTCTTATTTGGATGGAATCTTGGTGCATTTGAGCTCTCTGCTTGTACATGACAATCTGGACTTCTGAGTGATTTTGCAATTTGGTTTTCTGTACATCGCTCTCGCTCAGATTCCTTGGAATTTGGTATCAGAGCTGGTTCGAGATCGCCTATCTGCCGCTGACAACTTTGTTACTTGTTGCGCTGACGATGCTTCTGTGCAGTGAGGATACGATGGCACTGGCATGGTATTGCGACGCCTGGGTAGAGGGGTGAGTCGCAGGAAGGCTGTCGCGACAGCATGGGAGCTGTGGCGACAGCGGATGATGATGAGAGCTTGCTGATGTGGCAGTTTGGCTAAGGTGGCACTGCATTGCGTTGTGGGTGGTACCGAAGCTACGACCAGTCATCGAAATGCACATTCGACTCAATTGGTGAGAAATCTGAGATTGGTGGCAGCTCTTCAGGTACGTTGTTCCCTTACCTTATCTACCCTCTCAATCTCTTCTTACCGTGAGGAAGTGAGTCCAACCTTGAGTGTCCGCTCTTTGTGAGGAGTCGTGAGCGCTACCTCGAGAGACAACATTCTTCCCAGTGGGGCATCTGGCAGGAGAGGGCGGTGCCTCTGAAGGGCCCTGGTCGAAGCACGGGTCACGGTCACCATGGCAACCCATGGGAGTAGTCCACGCAGGCCATGCTGCTTTGTCCTTTAAGGCTCTTTGCTGCGCTGATAGAGGGGTGTGCGGACTGACCAGTCCTATGCCGACGCCTACCAGACCGTCTATAAACATTTCTGGCGGGGTTCTGAACTGTCCACTGGCTGTGATCGTCGTCCTTTCTGCAATGTTAAATAATTCCTGAGGACCTTGGGGGCTGTCCTTAAACTGCCTCTTGATCAGCCAGATCAGTCAGACGTAAGGCTCGTGCACGCGAGGATAAAGAAAGGGCAGTACTGGTCATAAGCATATTCCTGGGGCAGAGGGGTGGGCTGTTAATGCACACCTTAGACACCGCTGCTTGATGATGCGGACAGGCACGTTGGATACAAGGGAGGGAGATTCCAACTGGCGCTCAACTCTTAATCACAAACATACCCATTGTGCATTCATTTGCTCACACGATTTATTTTTATTTGGATTAGTTGTTGACAGACTGCTAACACCTAACAGACAGCCTAGATTAGTACTGTAGTGTTCTACCATAGCCAGTTCTGATTGAAGCTGCTGTGAGTGAAACTAATCGAAGTAAGAGTAGATCATGTGTACAGTGTGTGTGAATGCTGTCGATACCGCTTGAACAGTAGCCAGCTTGCCAGATATTACTTTATTTTCATTTATTTTTACAACCTGGTCAGACAAATGCTGCGGTAGACTCCAGTGAGGGCATTAGTGCAGACAGTGTCTGCCTAGCTGATGAGTGGACCAGGCAGTGGGGACAGATCTGCAAGGAGGAGGGTGACACGTCAGGAGTCCCTTAGCATTCCAATAGTGCACCAAGCTGTAGCTACTGGGGGAGAAAGGGCTTTGCGACAGGAAGCAGTAGCCGAACGCTTACAAAGTGCTAGAGAAGCGGCAGCAGCAGCCGAGCAAACGCTTGCAGAAGCAAGAGCCACTGCAGCAGCTATGGCTACTTCTGCTGCTACTTCAGCTTCTACATCTGGCCAGACGAGATTAGGCATGCCGGACACTTCGCAGGCGACAAGCAGTTCTTCCAGTCAGATAATGGGCTCGCAGTACAGCTCGCCACCCCCACGCACTAGGGAAGCCATTGAGCTCCAGCAAATGGAGTTGATCCGCTTACGGTTAGAGAAGGAACTTAGAGAAGCTACTGAAAGGCCAACGGAGATTAGAACTAGGAATGCTAGACTTGAGAATAGGGAGGCAGTCAAAGCTGCAGTAGAAGGGTTAGATGACGCTGTCATTGATGACAACACGCGGATCCTCAAGGCAGGTCTCCTGTCCGTGCACGCATACATGGACAGCAAACTGGATGCTATCCAGGACACCTTTGACCAGATACTGAGCACCATGCAGGGAATGGGAAGGGCTTTCCCATCTCCAACACGTGGGACCAGTTTCCAGCCTCCAGTTTCCCATCGCTGGGTTCCGCACCGGGGATGACTAGTCCTACTACAGTTCACCACGCGCTGTGTCAGCAGCAGCAGCACAGACTGTTGCTTCTTCATCTTTTGGAACTGCGGCTGGTGCTACACGACAGCCGGTCCCACCAGTGGGACTACAGCAGCCTTGGTACCCCAAGACCCCATTGAAGCCACCCTTAACCTTCTCAGGCGATAAGAAGGATAAGGCTCTTGACACTTGGCTGAGAACGGTTCCAGTGGACGCTGGTAGAGGAAGAGGTGATCACTGCTGCCTCGTATTTGGAGGGTTCGGCAAGGCGATGGCTAGATGGGTTAGTAGCCTTGAAAGGGTTTGGCAGGCTCATGAATGATTGGGCTAAGACCCATACGTTAAAGAGCTTTATGGAATTGGTGGAAACGTGATGGCACAACCCGCAGCAGGCCCAACAGGCCACTGACGCGTTGACTCGGCTTGATACTAAAAAGTACAAGTCCGCATTAGAGCTTACCTCTGCTGTTGAGTGTCTCACTGTTGTCCCGGGCATGCGCTATGACCTGCAGGTCCTCATGACTGTATCTTAGATGTCTTCCCACAGACGTCAAGAACTTGCTGAAGGCCCTAGATCTAGAGGCTAGGCTAGGAGGAGCCCAACAAACCCCTACCGATGGAAGAAAGAAGAAGAGTCACAAGAGTGGAAAAAGAAAGGTAATCGATTGATGATGGTTGACTTCGAAGGGAATCAGACTGAGATTGATGATTACTCCAACTCTGTGGACAGCACAGAGTTCAGAGGATGAGGATAGTGAGGGTAGCATCCTCGCCTCGCTTGTTAAGGCAGGTGGCCGCGGCAAGGGCGGTCAATCAAAGAGTCCGGGGCAGACCGTGAACTCGACCAAGATATTTGCAAGGTGCCTGCATCAACTACGATGAGTACGTCCATCGGCAGTTCAGATGCAAGAACGTGAAAGTCACGTAGAAGATACCTCCAAAAGGTGGTTTTGGGAAGTCCTTCTCCCAAGGCGAGGCTTCTACGAGCTCCAACTCGGTAAACACATCGGAGCAGTATAAGTTATAGCTGCTTCTACTCCTTATGAAGTGGGTGATGTCCCCTTCCCACTTCAAGAGATGGCTGAAGCTATTGGCTCTTTTGTCACCCCGCAGACACACCCCGACCCAACGGTACTCCGTTTGTTGAATGTGTATGAGGCCTTTGAGGACTTGCTACGTGAGTGGTCGACAAGGGACCCTCGCAAGTCTTGGGTGACGCTTAGTAGAGATCCTAGAGGGGAGCACTTCGTAGTGGAAGTCGGTGTAGGTGGCCGCAAATGTCGTGCCTTCGTACACATTGGCTCCACGCAAAACTTCATAAGTCGCGACTGCGTTGAGAGACTGGGCCTAGGGGACCAGGTGCAGCGCTTAGGTAGATCTGTAGCCACTACCTTAGCCAACAAAGAGCGCAAGGTACTCCGTTTGTTGAATGTGTCTGAGGCCTTCGAGGACTTGCAACGTGAGTGGTCGACAAGGGACCCTCGCGAGTCTTGGGTGAAACTTAGTAGAGGTCCTAGAGGGGAGCACTTCGTAGTGGAAGCCGGTGTAGGTGGCCGCAAATGTCGTGCCTTCGTAGACATTGGCTCCACGCAAAACTTCATAAGTCGCGACTGCGTTGAGAGACTGTGCCTAGGGGACCGGGTGAAAGGCTTAGGTAGATCTGTAGCCTCTACCTTAACCAACAAAGAGCACATGGTTGTAGACGACTACGTTAAAGAGGTGGTCTGCACCTTCTACTACGGAGGTGGCGAACTTAATCATAAGATTTATTTCCTAGTCCGTGACGACTTGCTTTTTGATATGTTGTTAGGTATGTACTACCTCGAGGTTGCAAAGCCCAATTTGTCTAGGAGCGAAAGGTACTTAGGCATGTATTACCATAAGGTAGGACTATCAGACTTGCCAAGTACAAAGCTAGCCGTTTGATAGACACTTACGGATGTATATGCGCATCTACCTTCTATAATTATTATAAACAGAACCAAGAGGAGGGTAAGTACATAGTCTTTATCTCTGAGAAAGGGGAGGCCATTAAAACACCCCGAGAGATAGAAAGTGTCATCCCAAAATTCCCTTATTTGTTCGAGGAGCCTTCATGAGTTGCCATAGAGATAGTTCCTAGGAGCAAGATACCCAAAGGATGGATCTACAGGATGGCACCAACCGAATTAGATGAACTCAGGCGACAACTGAAAGAGCTCACAAAGAAGGGTTGGATAAGACCTACTACCTCGCCCCTTGGCTCACCAATCCTATTTGTCCCGAAGAAGAGGGTTTCATCGAGGATGTGCATCGATTATAGAGGCTTCAATGCCATCATTACGAAGAATGCAAAGCCTCCGCCGTGCATCGATGACCTTCCGTATAGGGTGCAGGGATGTAAGTACTTCACTAAGATAGACTTGAAACCCGACTACCATCAAATTGGCATTAGACCGGAGGACCAACACAAAACCACATTTAAAACTAAGTATGGTCTATACGAGTTTGTGGTGATACCCTTTGGCCTTTTAAATTCGCCGGGTAGATTCCAGCAAGCCATGAATAGGATATTCCATGATTACATATCTTTAGTAGAACAGTCGAGGAGCATGCTCAACACTTAGAGACTATACTTTCACTCCTAGGACATTACAAGTACAAAATTAACTCATAGAAATGCGAGTTCGATCGCACTCAAATCTTGTACTTGGGTCATGAGATATTTGCGGATGGGATAAGGCCTGAAGATGCCAAGGTGGCTAGCATCCGTGACTGGCCACGCCAAGGTGGCTAGCATCCGTGACTGGCCACGACCTCAGTCTGTGACCGAGGTCAGATCATTTTAAGGGATGACTAGCTACTACCGCAACTTTGTCGAGAACTGTAGTACGGTGGCAAGCCATTTGACTGATCTAACTCGCCTTGACACACCATGGGAATGGACTGACGAGTGTGAAGCTGCTTTCAAGCGATTTAAGCATGCTCTCACACACCATGAGGTTCTCATGGCTCCCGATACTGTAAGGCCATTCCTGCTGGTCCGGGACAGTGTTTCCATGGATTTCATGGATACCCTCGTGACCAGCAAGAGTGGGAAGAGGCATATCTTCGTAATAGTTGATAGGTTAACTAAGTTCGTCAGACTGATTGCCATGCCATAGACCGCAGGGACTGGGCACGTCATCAAGTTATTCATGGATAACTGGGTGCGTGACTTTGGAGTGCCAAGGACTATCGTTAGTGATAGAGATGTCCGATTCAAAAGTGAATTATGGAAGAAGGTTGCAGAACAAATGGGCAGCCAACTCCAGATGACATCTGGGAATCATCCCGAAGCCAACGGCCAGGCTGATCAGATGAATCGAGTGGTGCAGCATCTGCTGAGGCATTACATAACGCCCAACCAAGATGACTAAAATGAGAAGTTACCTCTCATCGCCAGCCTGTATGACAATGTTGTACACAACACCACCGACGTCAATCCGAATCAACTGCACTTGGGGTGGAAGCCTAGATCTGCTCTAGACTTCCTCCTCCCTGAAAACCGAGCTGCTGCAACTCCTAGAACCATTGAATTTGGTGTCCAGTACGAGAAGTTGCTGCAGCAAGCTATGGAACACATCAAGAAATCTCAAGAAGCAATAATTGCTTTTGAGAACAAACATCGACGACAGTCCACATTTCGGGTGAGGGACGTGTCTAGGTTAAGTCTAGTGAGTTAGGTCAGGAATTCAACATCTCCAGAATATTAATGCCTCAATACTTTGGTCCTTGGGAAGTCTTGGATATTGCGGGCAGTGAGAAGGATGGTCTGTCGTACGCGATTCGAATCCCTGGTCGCACCTACCCTGTGGTTCACGCCTCAAAGCTTGCACCTTTTGCTGAGACACAACAGTTTCCATCAAGGAGATCCATGTTGCCCCCAACCATGGATGGCCACGTGGACGTTGACAAAATTTTGGAACACAGAGACATGCATGTTCCTAAGCCTGTGGGCAGAGGGAGACCTCTGAAACCCAAGAGAGAACATGCATGCAGTGGTTGGGTGTCATGCTGAGGTAGGATGTAGTGTGAATTATAGTTTAGACCACACACCACTGTAGGTCATGAGTGATGCAAGCAGTAGTGAGGAGGAACAAGTAGTGGAACCTCTTAGAGTTACATGTAGAACTGCTCTCAATCGACCGATCATTGTCCAGGAGTTGGGCCCAGGAGAGGAAAGGAGGCTGCAGAGGAAAGCCAGGGAGAGGGACGCATATCAGAGGTCTAGTGCAGCAGCAGCCAGCTTAGAGGCCGCAATGGCTACCGCCTCCATGTCACAAGCCTCGTCCCAAGCCTCTTCGTCAGGGGTTAGTCAAAGTGTTTCTCAGGTTTCCGATAGGTAGACTGTCCGCCTCCATGTCCCAAGCCTCGTCCCAAGCCTCTTCATCAAAGGCTAGTCAAAGTGTTTCTCAGGTTTCCGATAGTCAGATTGTTGGCTTGCAAGTCAGCCAGCAGACTCAACTCACGACAAAGGATTATGAGATTCTCCAAGCAGAAGCTCTTCATAATGAGTGGCAGCAGCAGTTGAGAGATACAGCAGAGAGAAGACAGAGAGAGAATGAGAAAAGATAGACTAGGAGCCAGAAGGCATAAGCTCGAAAAACTAGAAGCACTAGACGAGTCAACATTGGACCCTGCTATGCAAGCGCTGCGTCGCTCGCTCGTTTGTGTGGCAGAAACGCAGGTTGTCGAGCAGGAAGTGCTGGCTGAACTAGTGGCCGGCAAGAACCGAATTCTGGCTGCAATGCAGGCTCCTCGCCCAGTAATCAGGCATCCTCAATATTTTGTAGCTTCCCCATCGATTACGGGTCCCTTAGTGACACCATCGCCGGTAGCACCTTCCTTCTCTCCTATATTTCGCATGCCTCCTTCATGTGGTATGGCATCAGTTAGTGGTCCGGTTCTCAATACTTCTCCCTTACCATCGAGGACGGTGGCAGCTACAACCACAATGTCAGGACAGGCTCAGGTTAGCATCCAGCAACCTGTCTCAATGGCTATGCAGCCACAACAGCAATCCCTTGGGTCAATCCAGCCTATGCAGTGGATGCCCAAGATTCCCTTGCTGAGTCCTAAAC